TTTTTTTTTTTAAAAAAGCAACTTCAAAAGCATACAGTTTATTTCTGCAATGCCTGATGTTCATAGAGTCACACTTCAGTGCTCAGAGCCATGAAAACACTGCTTTTGAGGTGACATTTGTAGATGCCTCATTACTCTTTTCAAAAGAGTTTTGCATCAAAGAGTCAGAGCTTCAAACAACAGACCCTACAGGAGTAAAATAACTTATTAACAGCACATGAAATGGAATCGCCAGGAACTGCTGATACCAAAACAAGCAGGGCAAGCGTGTCATCAACAGCCAGCCCACGCAGCCGGGGGCAGGAGCTGGAAGACTGGTGATGTGCCGTCCCCTCCTCCTTGCAGGGACTTTCCAGACACTTGCCTTCCATCCACCTCCTCCACAACAAGGAGGCTTTGGAAGCACACCTACCTTCATGTTCTTTTTCAGTTGTTCCAACTTTCTTTATCTTTTTGGGCGATTTCATGAAGAGTGGAAAGATGGTCCTCAGACCAAGAATGTCAACAAACTTGTGACAGTTGTCTGTGCCCTCTGGTCCAATCATGGCATGGTCCAGTACCTTCAAGGCACTGCTGCGGGAAATCTTCTTCTCTCTGTCAAAAGAAAGCTGAGAGTTAAATTTTCCAGGGACAGGATGAGCTTTGGACCACACTAGAGACAGCATGAACGGGGAAAAGAATGTGACAAAGAAGTACAAAGAGTCCAAACACAAGCTGGAAGCAAGATATTCTTCAAGAAGCCAAAGCATTATATCGACAAACAGTGTATTTTCAAAGCTGTGGTTGAAAACAGTCTCTTGGTTATTTCTTTTTTAATGTCTTTTATTTATTTTTATTTTCTACTTTCTTTTTATTTCATTTTATATATTTTATTTTTATGTTTGTGGGTTTTTTTTTATTTCTCGGCTATTAAAGAAGTTATTTCTTCACCACCTTACAAACATGAGCACAAAATGGCAGGGGAGACTGGGCTGGGTACACAAGGCAGATACTGTCATACTGAGAAGATCAGGATTTAGCTCTAGCAATAATTCCATTTGATAAAGGAGTAAGTTTGGTGAGCATGGCTTGGTGGTCAGCTGTAATGAAGAAATTCTCGTCTCCAGAAATCACGCTTGGAAGGAAGCGGGTAAATTCTGGGCTATTCTGGTTTAGTGCTAGTCCAGAATGCTGGTGCTGGTGATTCACACCGACAGCAGGCAGGTGGTCTGAAAATGATCTCCAAAAGCTCTGTGCCTCTCAAACCAGAAACTGAGGAATTTATAAGTCATCCAGGGGAAAACTTAAAATATCTGGCAAAACTGGAACTGGAAAAGCAGTCACAAATACAGCACATCAAACCAAGAGACCAGGTAATGTCAGCAGGAGCTAACGTGAGCTGAAGAACGAGCCCTCAGTGTCCCCAAAGGCCAGGCCAGCCCAGCAGGACGGTCCCCAGGGGCAGGATGGTCACAAGCCCCACCACCTTCCACCTCAGGTGCATGACAATCTGCTCTGATTTAAGAGGATTTGTTCTCTAACAAATATATGCTTCAGAGACTGAACTTGGTGAACCAACATGCAAACTAAAACACCATATACGAACACCGTAGCCTAAAGGAAAGTTCCTTTGCCCAGTGCGACCATGGGAGCTTCTGACGGGCACAAAGTGGTTGTTGAAAGCACCCACGAGCAAGAGCAGTGCAGGAGGGTGGCTCAACACCCCCACCCCCCCTCGACACAGAGCTAAAAATAAAGTACTTCTTCAGCTAGACAATGTAAGGAATGTTTTCAGGGGAAGTAATTGCATATTGATCAGCATTTAGGAAGGCTGCACAGAGCTGATCTCTGGAATATTCATTGGGTTTAAGTTCAGGCTTTTAGAGATCAATAGCTGCCTGACTGGACTGTCTGGAGTTGATTTTATTTGAAATATTTATTCTGCCGGAGGGCAAGCAGTTTATCTTAGTCTCATCCGTGCTTATTGAGGTAACTTTTATCTGAACACTAATTCAAAGACAAGCATGCATGAGTGCCACCAAACAGGGAGTGATCTCAGTCTTCATGGGGACCTCCGAATTACAACTTTATTTGCTAACCATTGTTTTCCTCCTTTTCACACCTCTACATCTGAGATAACTCTTTTGGTACATTAATTATTTCAAAAAAGAAGAGGTGCTAAAATTAATTGGACTTTCCACATTAGCATAACACAGTCTTTCACTTTCCAAAACACTAGCAAAAGCAAACCACTAGATTTCCTGGAAAAATGCTGCATAAAATTGTTTCATTTAATTAACCAGAAGATTTAGTAAAGAGACAGTCTAAGTTTCCATGTGGTCATCAGGAACAGCAGGACAAGAAAACATAAAAGGATTTTAATAGTAATAAAAAATATACCCTGAAATGGCTACAGTTGAGCTTTGGGGAGCCGTACAGAGTTGTCCATTTCACCTTGTTTTTGCTGCACAGGAGCAAACACTTTCCTGAGGGTCAAGAAAAGCCACTGAACAGCTGCAGAATAGAAAATCGTGTTGCTCAAGCGCCGCAGGTTTCCATCAGCCCCCTTTGCTGCATTTGTCTGTGTGCATACGCACACCCCTTCGGTTAATAACTGGGAAAGCCACACATCATTTTTCCTGTGCAACAGAGAATCTTCCTGACGCATCCCCTGGGAACCCGGTGGCTGCATCTCCTCCAAACCTTAACACAATTTTACAGCAAAAGCAATAAGCTTCCTGTCAGCGCGCGCAAGGGAACTGACATTACGAGCCTGTTTCTCTCTTTTAGCTTTGTAAGGTAAACTGCATTTAGGTTACCAAGGCAAAGCTGAGGGACTGTGCACTAAAAAGTGCTTCCTGACCTAAAAAAAAAATAAAAATAAAAATTGAATTTAATTCCAGGTGACATTCATAAACTTTCCACTGGTGGCTACCACCTTGATAAACCATCTTATTTTTGATAAAGACGCTCCATAAAACAAACAAACCTCCATTGCTGCAGAGATGTAAATCAAATAATTGTGTGTACCTGTGCTCTCATCCTACTTCAAACCTGCCTACTTCATTTCTGCTGTCACAGTCTGTGTCTGTCTCAATCTGGTCTCCTCCCAGACCCTACACACCTGCTGCCTGAAGCTCCACTCCCAGCGGCAAGTCCCCCTCAACGCTGCGAGTCCGAGACCACACCAAGTCCAGGACATAAAGTGCATCAGCCACACCATGCTCATCTTCAGGTGTCACCACTGTCTCCCCATGAACCAGCAGACGTTCACACAGAATGACAACATCTTTTGCTGTTGGCCATACGGTTCAAGGCTCAACCTAACAGAGAACACTCCTGTTTCATTACTGTCTACAGGAACCTCTCGAGCATGTCAAGTGCTGAGCTGGAAGATGCTGTACTTCTCCGCAGGTCTGTCTGCGTGACCTTTATTAACAGAACAACTTGGCTAGATGTATTGGTAGCACTAGATACAGAATGCTGTGTTCTCTGAGACAGTACTGGAGATTCCAGCCTGATATCTTTATTCTTACACAGCTTATCTATCTCACATCGTGTCAATAAACTTTCAACTTTGCTTATGTGTCCTTTCATCTGCACAGACTGCAGTACAATGATTAACTGCCTTCAAAGTAAAACCAAAAAATAACAGATCTCTCCCCCCAGTCTTCACAGAACACTGACAGCAGAGAAAAATATTCTGCCCTGTTTGTGGGCGAGGTGGTCAATCACAATGGAAAGGCATTTCTATTCTTTGTTGTTTATCATGAAGTATCAAGAAGATACAGAAGCGTAACACTCCTGCACAGCTTTCTAGATCACAGCTATCAAGGTTCACTCCCTATTTACAAAGCTTGTCTGCAGTTACCAAAGCAGCACTGTCCACGAAAACTGAGCACCTGGAAGAGCTCTGAAGCATCCACCAAGAGAACTCCCAATGATGACAGAGGTTAACAGAATTAACAGCTATTTAATATCTTCTGGATATTAAAATATGTAAAAAACCCACAAGCAAACAAACACCAAAACCTTGCAGCATCAGTTCTCAGACACTTTGCCTTGTTTGGTGGTTTGAAAGCTACAGAAACATGCTCCATTTTCCTGACCAAAGCACTAGGTCCAGCAGAGCTTTCTACATTCAATCACATCATGACCTGCAAAAGCAACTGCCCCACTATGGCAGCAGCTGCCCATGCCCAGTGCTTCTCCTCCTAATGTAGCCACCCTCTCCCAACATCCGTTCCCTAATTTTCATCACCACAAACCAGTTCTTTGACCTTAATCATCTCCTATGCCCTCCATAGAGCACTGGACTAACGTCATTCATTCTCTTACTACTGACAAAGCAGCACAACAGAACCTGAAAAGCTGGTTTTCAAGAGACAGCAGAGCTAAGCACCACGTTCCCACCGCTCTGGAGATCTGAGTTACTAACACATACACAGTCACATCTGTGCCAAGCTCACCACAGCAATAAGGAAATACCACACCTACCAAAGGACAGCGTTGCAGCTCTGACCCAGTCAGTCTGAAGTATGGAAGCAGCCCTAAGTATGTGCCGAGTTTCGGTGATCTCACATGTTTTAGGTCACATGCACCATGGCCTGTGTCAGGATCCTCAGGTTTCATTCATTAGGAGTATGGAGACAAAAACCAAAATTGGGTATAGGAATGAACTGACATGTCAACAACAAGGATAGTGTGAAATATTTAGAAAAGTGGCTGGCAGCTCTTCAAAAGATGAAAAACACGAATCAGCAACAAAGGTATCAGCTTGACACTTTTAAGTCTAGTCTGAAGACATCATTAGAAGAATGAAGTTTACTCTCTCTGTCCAACTAGGCGTTGCTCTCTCTAAATGAGATTTGCAGTGCAGGACAAGTCCGGGCCAGAAGGGAGCTGGTTTGGGGACAGGACTCAGTCAGCTATCAACTCATGTTATTTGCTCAAATAACCAGGTAAGGAGAACTTCAACTTTTCTACTTATCTGAACTAGATTAGAAGAGTTTAAAAAATTAAAAAAAAAAATCAACTGTCAGCACAGTCCATGCTTGCAGACAGCAGAGATGTAAGCTTCTAGAAAATGCTCTGTGAATTATTACTTTTTTTCCATTGTCACTTTACCAAGCCCATTCAGACTGCTGAATAAATTAGGTTCCTAAGCATCAAAAGATTGAGGTTTTGGAAACCTCTTCCATTAGACATAGCTGCTGCTGGCAGATAAGTCATGCTTTGTCCCTCCTAAACCCTTCACAGCTACTGAGGGGGGAGTGGGAATGCATCCAGGGAGAAATTTTCCTCTTGTCATAATTTTCCAGCTGGGATCCTGGTACAGAGAGTGGTAAGCAGTCGAGTCCGAAAATGGGGAAAAAGCTATTAAAAATCCAAACACCGAGTCCCACCCACATGGCACCAAAACTCCAAGTAATTAGTTCTGCAAGGCTGGCTTAGCAGCTTAGCACCAGAGGCAGAGGGAGGCTTCCCTTTCATTCTTAGTTTTGGAGCTTTTCTTTAATTAGCCCCAAGAAAACCCAGCATTCCTATATGAATAACCCATGTTTGGTTACTTATGCAGTTCCCTGCTGCTGCACATTACCCAGCCCTGCGCTGCAGGAATCCATCATCTCTGGCTGGCGTTTGCTCACCAGCCACGGCACGCAGCCGGGAGAGCCAGACAGAGCCCTGCTGCGCCCAGTCCCAAGCTCTGGGGGAAGCCAGGCAGCTTCCCCCAGACAATTTGGTACCAGGCTAGGGAGTAAAAGCAAAGAGAGAGCAGAGAAGCCCTGGAGATCCACGGTGTGACAAAACACATCACAAGAAGAAATATATACTTACGCCCATTTCACAAAAGCAATTTTTGTATTAACATCCACAAAAATTCACCAGCTCAGAGGATACACAAGACAGGGATGCTTGAACCAGGGACCAAGAGGAAAAATGTTTTCCCTAGACACACCCAAAGGGTCTCTCTCACCCTCATAGGGGTCTTTTAAATCCTTAGAGGACTAGCTAGGGCCTGACCTACAGCATCCTCTCCTCTGGGTGTCTGCCACACAGATCTGCAATGTTACTTTCCAGCAGCTATCGTAGGAACCCCATTTCTCAGGAAACAAAGATAAAGACAAAGAGTGGAGCTTATATGTCTGAGAAGGTTCAACTTATATGCTGGAAAGAAAGACACTGGAAACAGACAAATATGTTAACACAGACATTTTATAAACAGAAACCCACAAATATCTAACCAGCACGCCTATTGGTATGTCAAAAGCAGTCAGGAAAATCAGAAATTTATCTGGGTACCTGAGCATCAGATTCATCAGCTGCAGACCCTCGCCTTTCAGGAACCGATCTCGATTGGAACTGAGCATCAGGCAGGAGCAAAGGGAGTCAAACAGGTTCTCCATCATTTCCTGTTCTTCTGCTGTACTAGGGTTGTGTCGTTTAAACACCTGCATGACAAAGAGAATCACCCCAAAACAGAGGGCTCAGTTTGGCCCACGCTGTTGGAGAGTACACGTTAACATTTTATATCACAAGCCTTCAGCACCCAAGACGCAGAGGCCAATCGTACACATCACTGATGCATTCTCTTGTCACTCTGCTGCCCTTTTCACTATCCTGACTGCACACCAACAAACACGCAGCTGGAGGACAACACAGGGTCTCCAAAGGGAAGGGCAAATTCACCAGCTGTGCAATTCACAAAAGTACGTGGACAAGCTTGTTAGCAGGGACCTCCTCGGCATAACAGATACCTGAGGGGTCTGCTCTGCAGCACCCTAACCTACTGACAGGAGAAATCTAAGTGAGCTCAGAACACATTACCTTCAGCTAGCTCAAACACTGCACAATGCTGCCCACTGCTTGGAGCAGATTTGTAATTAAAACAAAATAAGGTAACTTCTGGGTACCTCTACATTAACATCTGTAAAATGGGGATTAACCTCACTTACCATGGGTGATGCACTCGTGTGGAAGTTACTCAGGGACTATGCCACCACTAAATATAAAGCACGGCTGTGCTTCAGCACCTATGGATTGCTGGGACAGCGCTACACCCATAATCTGTTCCACCTCCTCACACCCAGCCTGCCAGCCTCCCCATGGTAGAGAGGGCGTATGTGAATTACTCACAGATAACTGCTGAAGCAGCACATCGATCCCATCCAGCTCCCCAAGCAATTCTCTGTTGTCTAGACGGAGGTGGGGGGAAGGGGGAAAAGAGAGAGAAAAATGAAGCTAACTGTCAGATTTTACAGCCATCTAACACTGATACATCAGAGAACAAAATCAATACGGCTTGACAGAGTACAAAAGCTGCAGAGAAAGAGGGCGCATGCGTGTGCGAGAGCATACACGCGCGGGAGAGAGAGCACAAGCAAAGGGAAGCAAAGCAGCAGGCAGGAGAACGCTGTTGTGATCTGAAAGCAGCCTGGGTCCTGCCCTCACAGAATATGGATACCCGAGACGCGCCTCACCGTCGTTATTCTGGAGCAAAATAGCCAGCACCTCACTGCAGTACAGCTTGTTGGCGTCAAAAGGCATCTTCGCCTGTTGGTGGAGAACAGGGCTCTGTTTCACTGATGTGAAGAACACTTTAATCAAGTCACCAAACACATGAGCAACACTTAAACCAAAACACAGCAGCAGTGATTTTGCAGTATGCCTCAGTGACAATAGTAATAATTCTCTCTGATTCAGGGGTGACGGGGGCGTGTGTGCTCGTGTAGAAACTCAGCTCTGATCCTTCACGCTGTCCTACACAAGGAGGTTTGACCAAGTCACCTCAAAACCCCTGAGAAGAGTCTCCAGTGGTTTGCAACACAGAGTCTCTGTCCTGTGATAAATTTTCCACTATGTTATACGAGTACATGGGGTTGATCCCTATTCTGAAAGTCTGCACCCCTGACCAAAACCAGAATTTCAGAAAAGACACCACAATAGCATTAAATAGTAACTGCCAGAGTTTTGTATGAGGATCACAACGTCACAATCAGAACAAGATGCAACGGGTTTAGCCTGCATAGTCACATAACTTCCATTTAATACATTCCCTCCATACTCAAATATGTTAAAACAAAAATCATAACAAAACAAAAATTCTGAATTTGAAGGAAAAAATAAAATAAATTCCTGAAGTGGGATTCTGAACTGCTCTGATGTTTTTGCAATGGACTGCATCAGATAATAATGCAAACTGGTTTACTGAAGGAATTAATAAAATAAACAAAACAATTTTTAAAATCATCATTTACCAGCTATTTTTATTCCACTGTTCAAGTAGGGAAAAAAAGGCAAGCAATAAGTACTAAGCTTAAAACATACCATTTGTCACTCACAATTTTTTTTCCCCAAATGCACAACTACCTGCAGCTTGACTGAGTGAACCTGCCTGGGCCAGGCTACGCCTGGGCCAATTATCCCAACCTGCTACCAAAGAACAGGTCATAATACACAAGCACCATGCAACACAAAAACATGAAAAGCAGGAAGATCCCAAATGCCACAAAGTATTGACTTTAAATAAAGCTTTTCATTCCAAACGATCCCCAACCACTCGTAGATGATGGTATTTATAGCAGCCACGATTCCAAGCAATCGGTGGCAGGAGAAGGGGAAGGTGACAGGCGCTTGGTGCTGTTCAGCTCTGCTGGCTCCTATCACAGTGAGTTCCAACTGCTGTCCTACAGCAAGCGTTAGGAAATAACGCTCTGTTCTCTCAAGGCTGCACATAACGCCATCAAATCCTGCTTATGTTTGGAGAAGTGAGCTATTAAGCTCTCCATCTGAGCTTTCCAAGGCAGTTCTGACAGTCAGAATACAATTATCCAACCTGAAATGTAGTCAGAAAACAGAAATTCACACTCTGTGCTGTGTGCCAGATGTCCTTACTGATGCCTAGACAGAACCCCAATTTTAAAACTCATCCTACAGACATTCTTCAGCAGCACAGCGCTCTGCCCAGATTCTGAGATCCTGGTTTAATCCTAAACACATCTGTCAGAGCAAGAGACTCAAGACCAAGCGCTGCCAGTAGCTTCGGTTTTGCTGATTTATAATAAAAGGGGCATACTTCCCAGTTTGAGGCGAGTTCTGAATTCACTGTATTCACAAGTGTTAGAACTTATCACAAAAATAACCTATACAAACGGAAAGAGACAATAATAAATAGCCTTGGCCTTTAACATTGTGCCAAACACGGTCTCAAGCACACCAGCTTCCAGACCAGTGGCTTGTCAGTTTTTATTGTGGTATTTCCCAAATTACAACAGGAAACCAGGCTCACCTTCAGCCTCTTGAGCAACCACTGCATGAGGCCCTGCTGCGCAGCTTCTGTGCACATCTCCGGCCGGAACTCTGCCATGTTCTCGACGATCGCTGAGAAGAAAGACACAAAGAGCCATTCTTCCCACCCGCAGTTCAGCTCAGGCCTGTAAAGACACTGCTTTGCCAGGTCCTTCCGAGGGCTGCACTGCTCTTCTCAAAGTTAGAGCTTATTTGCAAAACTACCTTTCTTGGAATGAGACTTAAGTTCAGGTCTGTGATATTCTCTCAGCTTTGACACTGCCCACACAGTCCATCCTCAGTGTGACACCAGCTCTGCTGGAAGAAGCCCAAGATACCCTCCCTCTGCTCCAGCAGCAATTCTCACTGCACAAAACTCAACTAAACAACAGCAGTGGCAGTAAAATTCCCACAGCTCTTGTTTCCAGTCTCTCTCATTCTTCCAGTCCTCGGGAGATTACAATCCCAGAAGACTGAAAGGAGTGGATGAGGGTCTGAACCCCACCAACAGTGACACTGCAGAGCAGTTACCGTGTTGTGCGAAGACTGGGGAACAGAGAGCTAACGATGTACTCACATGAAATACAAATGTTTTACTACCTGAAAGTTAAATATATGGCTAAGACATAAACAGCTCTCATAACGGATTGAAGTAGAGCTCACAGGTAAGTTCACAGTAAATACAGGGGAGGGGAGCACAGCTCCTGGTGCAGTGCTGGTTCATCCGTGCAGCAGCACCTCCCTACGTAACCGCTTTGGGAAGAGGCGCCTTACAGCAGTCGCACGACGAACACTGGCTCGAGGGACCAGGCTGTACTGCGAGTTCAAGTCATGCTTGAACAAAAGCTGCACTAGGTCCTCTACCCTAGTGTTGGCAGTTGGAGAGGAAAGGAAGGGGAGGGATAACCCACCCCCTCTTGGTACAAAATAGAGGAAGAAGCGAGAGGCTGTGCAACAGCCACTTACCCAGGGTGTTGTGGACACCATCAGCTTCTTCTTTCACACCTTCATCCAGGCGCTCTAAGTTCTGGACCAGCAAGGCCACGACCTGGCCCTCCACCTAAATCACCGGGGTCATAGGAAAGATAAAAAGATAAGGGAGATGACTGAAAAGAGGAAGATGAAGGAGAAAGAATGGGGAAGTTAATAAATAATAAAAATCAATAAGCCAGACATGATCAGAAGACATTAACAATCTTGTTCTAAAATCTCAGAGGAAGCAAAGGAATCACCAAGTGAATCTGCCACTATGTTTGTCCTAATTAATTAAACAACTTTTGTGTTTCAGATTAAACAGACAAACATCTGTAAGAAAAAATGCACCTTGTCACAGTCTTATTTCCTGAACCAGCCTGATTGATTTATAATCCCTCAGAATTCTTAAGTGTGAGGCACCACAAACCGCCGCAGATGGGCTACTGTCAGCTCTGCCAGTGCAGCTCCACTTCCAACTCCTTACTGCTGGTCTGCCCACATTTCTGTTACATCTTCCACCTTAACAGGTACAAAAAGCTGATGGAAAATGCTCACAGACAGAGATTCAAATCCAAAAACTGAGTTACCACCAGCTGAAGCCTTGCATTTTAACCCTAGCAAGACAAATGTACCAAGCTGACTTCAGCAAGCTAATGAAACCCCAACAAATTAACAGCAAGAACATGAACCTGCATCTGCAGGTGGAGCCTCCTAATCAAAGGGCTACACAAGACATTCACTTTCACAGCTGCCACTGGACAGAGTCCAGCCTGACTTCGGCAAACTTCTCATTGAGGAGATGAGCTTGAAAAAATTAAACAAAATAACATTTCCAATTCAAACACTGTTAACTAGCTTTGGGCCCAGTGAACACACAGAAAAAATGCAAGTTATCAGCTCCTGTGGAAGGTAAGGCAACAGTCCTCACAGACACCCTACATTCTACCTAATTCATTTTCTTTTTTTTTTTAAGTAGATATCTAAACATTTCTCCCAAGATATGCCTGACCTGTTTCTTTCAAAGAGGACAATAAAACCTCTAAAACTTGGCTATTATCAGTGGGCTGGTGACAAGGAAAACAAAGAAAAAAAAACTTTGCTTGATTTACTACCTCTCTGCACATTTTATAGAAAACATCTTCTCTAGCAGTTCCTCTCCACCACTCCATTCATCCAGCAATCCTTCCACGAAGGCAGAGTAATTAAGAACAGCTCAGAGGCCAGCTGGAGGAACTCAGCTCTGGGCCACTGTCATTAACCTTTGGAAGGTAACATTGTAGTGACTGGACAAGAAGGATTGTAGCAGAAAATGGAACAGCCAAACAAAGCAAACAAAAGAAAACCCGTAATTCCCCATCTTTCAATTTCAACATAATAGTTACAGAACAAGACATAGCCACAGTGATTCACAATCACAGCAATTCCCTAGCAGGAGCTGCCCAAAGGCAGGACAGACAGGTAAATCTCGAGTTTTGCTGGGCACAGGTTCTCCCGAGGGCTTCTGCTTGGTTTGGCATCCTCCTCCCACAGCCGAGGAGCCAGAGGCATCCAGTGCAAACACCAGGAAAAGGGGAAGCCCACCACCACAGAGATGTTCCAGTTCAAGCAGAGATTTTTGTGTTTGAAACAAGAATTACTGGGTAGAAGATTACTGGTCTCCTGTGCAAAGGGTTAGACTGAAAGATCACGCTGTCTTTCAGATAACAATCTGAGCCCCGACACAAGCTTCAGTTTTTCACGGGTGAACAGAGGTCACCCTTTTCTACAGGAAGAAAAATGCAAATTGAGGTCCTATTTTCAATAGGACACTGTCCAAGTCACAAGTAGTACTTCATTCTCCCTCCCTGCATGAAAAAAATCTCCCAGCCTACACAAGTTTTGCAATAAGAGCGTGTTCCTTCCAAAATATAAGTGGTACACAATGTGCAAGAAGAACCCACTCCCCAGACTCTGGCATTCCATTACAAAAACCCATCGTGGTCCTCGATACAGCATTTCACCTACAAGAGAGCAGGCTCCTGACCTGGCTACCTTCATCGTGGTGTTGGCAACACAGATAACCACAGCTGCAGAAAGCGTGGCAGCTCAGAATATTCCCTGCTGTGCTGTGTAAGGCAGACGTTGTTCAGGCACTGAAATGATCTGGAGTTTACTACTTACTAGAGCATCTATGAGGACTTCGGCTCCTTCTTCACTCTCATGGAGGGTATCTATATCAGTCAGCTCCTGAAGCAAGTCTACCACAGCTATGGAGACATGTGCTAGGCATTAAGGACAACCAACATAGAGACAGACACATTTAATACCAAAAGCAGATTGCTCTGAGGCCAGTGTGCTCATGACACGATCCAAAACACCTGGTAATACATTACAGCAGCGGGGCACAGAACACCAGAGCCAGGAGCACAGAGACCACTTCAGCACACAGTCCTCACGGGCACCAAGGTCAGGGAATCCCAACAAATAGGAATGATAAAAACACATATAATTGTGTGCTCACTGTATCGGGCAATTTTACTCTTTCTTGATGATATTTTTTATTTCCAAATCAGAATTGCTGGAGTTGGTATAACCAGGCACCACCCTGCATTGTCAAGACTGAATATAAACAAAGAGAAATCAGTTAGAATAATCCGATTTGGGTATTCTGCCCTCAGTGACACCCCTGCTAACCTGCCAGAGCACACACCTAACAAGGCCACTGCAGAAAGCAGGAGCCATCACCCCCTTCTGCCCGGCCCAATTAGGACAGCATGCTCCTCCAGCCACAGACCTCGCAGGAACAGCATCACTTCTGCCAGCCCAATTTTCACTCATTAACTCTGGGCTACATAACACATGGTTCCCCTGACTGCTACACAGCTCTCTGGTACGACGAGACGTATTCCACCTCATTAGACCCACTTTCCTATTCTCTCAGACACGCTGATCAATCTTGCCCAAGTCCCACTGGGGTAGAACAGGATACGCAGTGTTCTGCATGTCCTATATAACAACTTTGTGATGAAGCTCTTTAAAATGCACAGGCTAACAACCAACCTCCCAGTTCTCCTATTTGTGCACTTGCTGAGACACACAAGCAGCAGCAGGAAAAGTATTTTCATGTACCTTTTCTCAGCAAGGTTACAGTCGTGACGTACCTAGTCTCAGGAAGGACTGTAAGAGCTGCCTGTCCCAGCCCCACGTTAGCCCATGTCCAGGTGCTGCAGTAAGACAACTACTTTCTTTGTGCTCCACAGCAATCCTTAACCAAGCCAAAGCTAGGTGTACATTTTCTTGATGGATAGATGTCACTGCCAGTTGCAACTGCCATGAGGAACCAAACAGAAAGGTGGTTACTCCTCCCTGGACAGACTCACTCGTGCTTGTACTAAAACATGGTCAGAGGTGCCAGGGTACAATTGTGAAAAGCATGTTGGAGTGTGACTCAATAGGCAAGTTATGGGAAAATAATCTGCCTTACACTTATTCTGCAAGGAATCAGCTACAAAACAAAAGCTGGAGGAACAGGCCTGTAGGAACCTCATGAAATTCAACAAATGCAAAGTCCTGCACCTGGGAGGGAACAAACCCACGTACTGGGGCTGACTGCAGAGGTAAGCTCTGAAGAGGAGAACCTGGAAGTTCTGGTGGACAAGTGGAAGCCAAGTCAGCAGCATGCCACTGCAGTGATGAAGGGTAATCACAGACTGCACACGTTAGCAAGAGCAAAACCAGCAGGTCAAGAGAAGGGGTTCTGACCTGCTGTTGGCACTCATGAGGCAACAGGTACAATATTTTGTTTGGTTGTGGGCTCTCCCAATAAAAGAGAGATCTTGACATACTGGACTTGGGAGAGTGGAGGAGCACTGAGATAGCCAGAGGGCTAGCACAGTAGATTCACAGTACGAGGAAAGACTGAGGGATTGAGTTTGATCAACCCACAGAAGAGGCGGCTTAAGGGAGGAGCCAGCTGAAGACGGCTGCTACCTACGTGAGCAAGAGCTCCAGCAGTCAGGAGGGTTCATCTCACAGGGCACTCCTGTCTAGGGAGCTTCTGCTGAGGTTTCCAGTGAGAGCATCAGTTGTCCTAAAAAATTTAAGAGACAGAAAAACAAAACCTCACTGGAAGCTTTTCTGTCTTTCGTTAATAAAATCTTGTCAGTGATCATCTTTCATTCACATGTTTTGTGTAAAACTGCATGAATCATTCAGCAGATTATTTGCTCCCCCTGGACATTGCTTTTGTCTTCTTGCATTAGTCCCTCAAGACACTACATTTAAATCACATCCAAAGAGCCATTTGTTTTGTCCTCTCCTTGAATAACTCATTTAAAAAAATCTTTTTCCATTTGTTTTAACAAAAAGTCATCAGAAAACTTGAGCTGTATCAATTTAGTTTTATGTTTAGAAGCTTCACTTTAATAGTGTTTCTATTCCATACATAAGCAGCAGCAGCATCACAGTGAAAAGGCATTACTACAGCCTGTGTCCTGCTTCCAAGGGATCTGAAAACACTTCAGCAGTTTTAGAACAAGAAATATATTTTTCCCAAAATTGCAATTCACAGGCCAAATTTCTAACCTTAAACTAACTGACAGGCAAGCTGCAAACCAATGAGAAAGAGTTCACAGTGGAAACACCGACAAGTCCTTGACAGCAGCTGTGACCCTGGGACACAGCTTTTCATGGCTGGAAGGACAAAGCCAGCTGCATTCCTGGGCACTCCAGATACAGCAGCTCTGCTATCCCAGTCAAAATCCCCATGGTTCCTCTTTTCCCCGTGAAGGAGACACTCAGCATGAGCTTTTAATGCCATGCACACAGGACACAAAAAGTGATGGAACTACAGTAGCCACGGAACTGGTTACACATAGGAGGTGTTCCCCACTGTACAACAGTAAACTGGTCACAAATATTTACTGGAGAGTAATTTCCATTACAGATCACAGATAAGGAAAGCCGAGTCCCATCTGCAGGGACCAGCATTCTACTGCATCGAGGTTCAGTTAGAGACGAGTCAGAACTCCCAAACACGTGAGCAGTGCTTTCTAATATAAACTGGTATGCAATAAAATATTTATGTTTTGGTTTTATCTTCTGATCACTGTACCCACTTAGAAAGAATTAATTATGAACTCTTAATACATAATACTATGAGGCAAAGTGCTAAAAAAGAAAACCAAGATCTGTGCACCAGACTGCAACATTCAGCACTAACAATTCATTTAACATTGTGTATTTAAAAACATCTCAGAAAAGCTGGAAAGTATTATCTACTGCTTTGCACACAAAGAAGTAAAGAATACATTAATTTCCTAAGATCATGAATCAATAAAAAGGAAAAAAGAAAAGCCTGCTGTAGTCCCAAGTCTAAGTCCAGTGCCCTTTCCACTGGGCTTCACTGCTCCCTCCATTCACTAATGTTTGTCAGGACACAGACACACAATCTTTCGATTCATGTCACAGTTTTTTAGCTCAATCTACTGTAGAATATTTTACAAGCAATGCAGTCTGAGCTCTGCTTTTAAAGACTGCACAATGGTAAGTCAGACAGAGTGCTATTTATCAGCTGACAGCTAAGCATCAGAATATTAACAAAAATGTCACTGTTTTTGTTCAAAACTACCAAAATCTTTAACAGCATAGACAGAAAACTCTCTCCGAGATGTCCTTAGACCTTCAGAGGAACAAGAGAGATCAGTTCAGTGACTCAAGAATTAACTAAGCATGTTAGTTATATCATTATATATTATATCATTAGAGAAATGTCTCTGGATATTTACGAACGCAGAGGGGCCACACACAATCTCAAGCTCTGATCACATCAAATTAAAGGTAAGGACACATGAAGAATCCATCACATTTACAAACTAAGCCATAGCACTGTGGTGAGCTAGTCCATGGCAAACAGCTGGAAGCGTGACAGCTCAGCTCTCACCAAAAAGGGGTAAATGGGTTTCTTTTTTACTGGGGACTGTTCCAGGCAGTTTGCACACAGTTCCAGGCTGTACGCTGCGAAGCCCATACTTTAGCTTTCCCTCTATTGTTCATCTGTTCACACTTTAACACAGCCACTCAAACCTAGATGAAAGGGTCATAAAACAAGAAAGGAGAATAACAGCACTGAAAAAATTCAGAATCAATATTACTTGAACAAAGAAGGCTTTCACTGGGAAAGAAAAAAAAATAAATTCAGTGTGATGGGAAAGAAGAGAAAAACACATACAGTATGTGTGAAAGCAGGATAGAAGAGATTACAGAAAAGTCTGTAGAAAGCCTCTCACACGAGAGCTGCTCTGACAACTGAAGGATATCTGTGTTGTCGTGTCCCAGCAGCCCGAGGAGGGACTGCACAGCGTTCAGCTCCACCAGCAGGTGATACAGGTCTGGCATCGTCGCAATCACGTGCATTTCCTGGATGATGTCATTTAAATCCAGTTCGGATTCCATAAACCTGAGGTAAGACAAAAACGGTTAATAAAGAGGCAAAAAGTACCTCAGCTGTGCTCAATGCACGGCCCTTTTCAACAAGGAGACCACCACCCTCCAGGGGATACCAGGTAAGATTTGTCACCCCAGCTGCACATGGCCCCAGCATTTCTGATCCTCTGTGGTCACCTCAACATCACCAAGTCCAGAACTCCCAGAGGATCATGCTGTCCTGTGCCTGCCCCTTGAAGTTCAACCACACAGTAGGATAAGCCTTCCTACTGTACAATTTACATAGACTAAATAAGTAGATCTGTTCCAATTCTGTAAATCGGCTATAGAACTTAAAATAAATAAATAAATAAAGAGGTTGTAGCTACACATGAAAAACCCAGCCTGCGTATAAAGTAAGTTCTCTAGAGTGATGCACCTTCCCTCACTGCCACATATTAGTGTGTGGGTTGTACTAGTCTGAAGTAAAGTCCAAAACCAGAATTTGGGCAAGGGAAAGAACAGTAAACTGGACAAAAAACATAATGGCACTCAAGTGTAGGAAGAAATTAATTTAATCTGAATAACAAAACTCCATGAAAGGAGGAAGAGACTCACTAGAACCACAGGTGTGGAAAGAAAACACACAAAGTCTGGCTTTCCAATCCCACCCAGCCATTTTGCTCACCACAGCATCTGAAAGCTCCATAATATGAAATGATTTTCCTCCCACAGGAACCGCTGACTGCACACGCAGGCACAACACCTTCACACTGAACCATGGCCCAAAATCTTGCATTATTTGGAAAAAAAAAACCACACCAATCCAGGAGCTCAGGCTTCCAGCCCACCCCCCAAACACACACCACCTGCCTCCCAGTGAGGAGGAGACCACTGCTCAGAAACAGGGCAAAGGAGCCCCCTGAGCAAAGAGAGACCTGCAGTGTGGCCAGTGACCTCTGGTGCCAAGGGCCAAGAGGAGGGATGCTGGGAGAGCTCCTTAGCGCTCACTTTTGAGAAGCCAGCCACTGCCTTAGATACCTAAACCAAAACTACTGAAACCTCATGGAATTGGTGCACTCCCAAAATAACAACAGCATCAACTCAAATTTCAGTATTGAAGTTTTACAATCTATAATATTGACAACAGCAAGAATTTAATAAACTATAACTTTTCCATTCATTGCTAGTTATTGCCTTTGTGCTGCCAGCCATATACTGGCCACCACCAGAAATCTCGATAATGCCATTTTTATTTAACAAGGTTAGTTTAAAATACAATTCAGAAGCACCACATGGCAATAACTGCTGTTACATGAGCCCTGTGTAACTGAAAACGTCTGTATATTCAAGATATCGATTCAGGGTTGAAACCTAAAATTAAAGGAAAAAAGGGTAAGAGAGACTGGGCATAATCTTACTTCTCTGGATTGTCAGGAAACTTGATCCGCAGCTCCTGGTTTTTGTAAGATCTCTTCTCAAAGGTGAGAATCATCTTCTTCACTGAACTTTCATCCAAAGGTTCCTCCTAACCAAACGGAAAAGGGCAGAAAACAGAGGTCAGCATTTGGATGGCTGGAAGAACTACCCAGCAAAACCCAAAAGAGGGAGCAGAGCGATGCGGTGAGACCGCAGCAGGGTCCAGAGCCTCCAGGGACAAGCAGCAACCCCTGGAAGCCTCACTGCAGAAAGCTGCCAAGAAACTCACACACCCTGCTACCCATTTACTGATTTACTGCAACTCTGACCCAAGCAAGCTCCCCAGAGCAAAACCTTCTAAGTCAAGCTTTTAGAAATCAGGGGCTGACCAATGGAAGGTTCTTCAGAAAAGAACCAGCAGAGCTTCCCTACGCTTTCTGAAACCGAGTACCCATGGAAAAAAACAAACCAAACCAACCCACAACAGGTTCACAATGGCTCATCTTCCCTGAGCTGTTCTTTTACACGTGTTGTTACCTGGCACCATCACTGTGTACTGAGGCTTTTTGCTTCTGACATATTAGAGTAAATGTGCATTCATAGCTTATGCCCATGGATTGTTTCTTTTCAGAACTCCGTTGTGCTATTTCTTTTTGTAGGTTTACATTTAACTGCCCTGAGTTTATGCTCTTTGGTATTTTCCTCACTTGGATAAGCTTTCACTTCTAAGTCTTTTTCTAAAGAAAAAAATAAAATCAATATTTTACTCCAGTATTTTCTTTTTATTTCTGAAAATCTTTTAAGGTGTTTCTCTGTTGGCATTACACATTTCCTGTACAGCAGTAAGATGACTTTAGCTACCTGCCTGACAACTCCAAACATGACTCTTCTTTTCCTTGTTTCATTATTTTAATGCACTGCTTTTAATAAAACATTGATGCTAGAGATTTTCTTGTGTAACCTCTTCCTTCTCCTCTATCTGACTAGGTTACAATCACTGTTAAAAGGGAAGTTCTCAAAACAAAAACAAACCAGAGCCCTTCACATCTTAAGCCAAGTTTTGTGTCCCGTCTCCTGTTCAGTCGAGGACTCTTGGCTACGTCCATTCATCCTCACTGGAGCTCAAATGCTGCAGAAATCCTGCTCCATCCTTCTCCGCTATCAGCCACAACTGTAATGGCAACAGCTTACCACCAAAAAACGAGGGAGATTTGCGGAGATGAACAGCAATGCTGTATACAAAGGACAATGATATTTTACAAACCTACATGATTCTGCAGCAGTGAATATCACGATTTTTTTATCAAGCAGGACACAAGCAGCAGGAAGCAAATATCTTCTAGATTTATACCAATCCATGTGTCACATTTATAAAGTGATCTTTTCCCCAGCCCTTGGCAGAAAGGCCAATGCCGCATCGGATTTCTGTCTCCAAGGCTTGAAATCATTTACCCTTGACAGCTGCTACCCCCCTTCTCTGACCCCAGACCTTTCTTGTAGAGAAGAACATTTGCTTATTTGCTGCTGCTGCTGCACAGCTACAGAGAGGGGGAGAGTGGGAGAAGCTGCATGGCTGGGGGTACTAATGAGAATAACAGTGAGGGAACTGGTTGGAATGCAAAAACTGCTTCCTAACGATGTATTTTAGAAGGTGATTTGGGTATTCCTAGCCTAAACCAGAGATCTGCCTCGAAAGCTTTCCCTTCCCCTCCCTTTGCTCCCCGCTTTAAACCTCCAAAGGAGATCCTTGAGAAGCCTGTGTGAAATTAATGAATACCCTGCAGGGCAGGAAAGTCAAACCAGAACCTTAAGCTGAATGAGGCTTGTGAAAAATCACCAGTTAGTCTCATCATCCACATGGTAAGAAATGGAAATCACAGAGAAGTGATTTAGTGTTTGCTTATTTCCCACTGCCTCCCCTTTCCCACAGGACCCTAGTGATTTACTTCCTCCTCTTCCTCTTCTCCATCCCTCTCAATTATCTGAAGAAGTTTCTTCTTCTCATCATCAGTTTCTTCCAGCGCAACAGATTCCTCTTCCCGGTGGCGACCGTGCTCTCGCGCACTAGCTTGTTTCCGACGTGCTTTGATTTCCTCTTCCTCTTCATCGCGAGGTCTTTTTGTCCCTCTGTTAGGCTGAAGTCAGAGAAATAAGGTGAATGAATACAAGTCTTTTGTGACCCTTGCAAACCAGAACACCAACATTACAAGACATATTGAGAAAATTCTTACAAGTTGTTTAAAACATTTACTTACACAACGCTTAACAACTCCAAAAACTGGAAAGGAAATTAATTTAGTGAAGTGGAACATCACATGAGTAGACAAATGGCTCTGCCAAGAGCTATGTCAACACCCTACCTTGTTTGATCTATGAACACGACTCACGGGAAAATATCTTCATAGGCAGCAAAGATGAGTGCTGCAAAGACAAGACGCGGCTCAGCGCCTGTGCAGCTGACCATCGAGAGGGACTGGAACCAGCTCAGTCAGCTGAGACAGACAGACAGACAGACAGCCTCCCGCTCTACAGACAGACCAGTGTGCTCAGGCAGACAGCAGGGAAAGAATTTTTTACCCATGTGGTATATGAGATTATATTGAGTTCTTACATGGGATCATACGGGACTCTTACATGGGATCATACGGGACTGTTATGTGCATCCCAAGTGACCTCGGCTTCCCCGACACCCGAAGGCAGCATCAGAGCCCTGTTTACAGCAGGCAGGGCAGGATTGCTGCTGGCTGCAATTCTGCAGGGGCTTGGCACCGGATTACACGGTGCCTGTACCTTTACAGTTTGTTGGAACAATCTATTATTTTATTCCACAATTTCTATTTAATTGTCAAAATTAAAGGTAATTTGCCAGGGACAAGAAAAAGTCCCTTAACCCTAATCCCACGTTTTAATTTAGGCAAAAAGGGATGAAAGCATTTGCAATAGAAGGAAAAACTCCCTCGCTTCAAAAACTACAAGGATAGTGGTCTCTGAGTTTTTTGAAGGACAACCAAGCTGGAACAGGAGGACTCCATGCTCTATAACCACAGGAAAACAAAGCTTAATTCTTTACTATTTAAAAGGAGTCTGTGTGTTAAGAACAATGAAAACATTAAGAAACATATGTTTACTTTCTATCAGCTGCTTGAGTTGCCTGGTAGATGATTTCATAACGCCATTAGCTCAAACATTTGTCCAGCCTGTTTCATCAAACGTTACCTGGCAGGGAGACCCCACTCTTCTGCTTTGTGGGACCCTTTGCCTAAAACCACAGAAGTCACATCGCGCTCTCCTGAGCACAGGGTCTGCTTTTTAACTCAGATTTGGATTTTCCTCGGTTTTGATTCGAAGAAAGAGAGAGAGGCCGAGGGAAGAGGTGACAGCACCATTCTCCTGACAGATCCAGCATGAGTGAGGGCGCCAAGGTGGGAGCTTCCAGCTGCCCAGCAGGTCGGGAACTTTTGGCCCCAGAGGGCAATAAATCTTTCACTAAATCTCACAAGGCGATGCCGCTGCGATTCGATTACAGCGCCCGTGCTGCAGACCAGTATGACTGCTGCTCTGCACAACCCGAGAGCATCTCACATTTAGTTATTCCAATATAAAGGACAAGCCAGCAAATGAAAGCACTGCTCTCCAAAAACTCTGCTTGCAGGAGGAGAGATGTTAAAAAAAAGGCACTTGAAGCATTAATTATAATGAGAGGCAAACTGGCCAGCAGGCTGCCCGAGCTCTCGGTGTTTTCAGGGTTACCACGTTGCCACCACTTTGAGGAAGATGCAGAATCAAGTTTCCCAGACAACATATTAGCACAAATCAAAGCTCTAGATGCTTGCTCCCAGCTACACCTGTTGTAACTGGGTTATTTATCTCTTTTCTCCCTACATCTGCTCTGCTGTTTCCATTACAGATGGTACATTCCTGACTTAAAACTCTTCCAAAGTGCTCCCGTGCACTTTTAAAGCAGTTACTCAGCTCATAATGCCATAGCTGTGAAGCAGAAGCACACCCGGAGATCCTTTGAAATGAAAAATGTATTTGCTTGGAGGGTTTTGTGGGCTGCTTTTTTTTTTTTTTAAGCAGATTTCTATTACTTATCTTCTAGGTACATTAAAATATAATTTCACATACATCCATTTGGAAACAAATGTGTCATCATCAACAACCAATAATTCAAACCCTCGCCAAGCAATCAGCAACCCAATAAAGAAAAGAAAAAGAAAAAAGGTGCTTTTTAAATGCCATCATCTAAGGCAAAAACTTTGGTAAATACACACTCCTTACTCGGTGCCCTTAACACCACACAGGTCCCTGTCCTTCCCGTGTCCTTCCACTCATTCCCTGGTAAAACCCAATTCATCCTAAACCACCTTTGACAGATTAATGTCAAACACACATAGAAATCAGTGACAGAAGTCCTGAATTTTACCGCAAAGGGCCCTACAAGATCTGCCTTGGATGCTGCTAATTTAGGGCATCGGAATCTCATTCCTCGCTCTCATTTCTAAACATTAAAAAAGGAACAAAAACCTCGACGAGGCTGCAGCTGTAATGAGGGACCAAGGGAGCTGCTGCTTTGTCAAGATGCAAAGTAATGTACCATGGGAAGGGATTATATCACCAGAACAAAATCTAAATTAAAACTCCATCATGAAACCAACCCCATTTCCTCTGAGTACACAATCCTTAGTATCAGAATTTACACCCTGTTTCAATCTCAATTATTATATCCTTTTTTGTATTTATGCATTGTTGGGGGGCGGGGGGGGGGGAATCTTCTATAATACATAACAGAAATCATTATGATAAATTATGGAGGTGCCCAGCGTGCAATTATTAATGCTGCCAACATATTGGCAATAGGCAGTAATTGAATTCCCGGGCAAACGCTATTAAGCGGGCATTAAGGTTTTTCCTCTCGTTATTGATGTTATGCAAAACCTCGCAGAGAATATTGCGGGTGTCCGACCGGCGCTATTAAAGCTCAGAAATCAAACACCCGGGTTCCTGCTCGTTCCACCAGAGGTGCACAGCCATGAAGGACTGATCGGGGGAAGCATTAGCTCCCGCTCACTGATTTCCATCATTTGTCTTTTCTACAAGGCTGTTACCAGCCAACGAGAGCGGAGCGCGCACGCTGCTGCCCCGACACTGGTGCAGTTTGCTAAGCAAACATGTCCATTGTGTCTAATCACATTCATGCAAATAATTTCATAGCTTTGCACACATCTACACAAGTTTTGCTTTATGGTAGAAAGGGGAAAGTTAATCATTTGATAAGTAAAACGTGGGGGTTTTTTACTCAGGTGCATTTAGCAAGAGGATAGAATTCATTAGCAAATGCACAAGAAAAGCATTTGCACATTGTTTTGTTAGTTAAGCTTAATTTTGTTCCCGTTGAATGCAGTGCACTCACAGTAATTTATTCAGAAGACATTTTCATTTAAATTCAACGCTGATATCACCACATCAAAACCAACTAATACAAAAGGGTTTAAAAAAGCTGACATGTATAAAACACAACGAAGTAAACAAAAGCTGGTGACTGGTAAAGGGAGAATTATCTTCCTGCTTCTCCTCTGACCTCCAGCTGCACTTGCTCTGGGTGTTATCCGACACACCCCACGCTGCTCCAGCCCGGCCCGAGGCCCGGGGCAGCCGAGACCCCCAGGAACACGCCGGACAGGGGCCCTGGGTGTGCACAGCACGTCCCGGGGCTGCCCCTCGCTCCGGGCAGCAGCCACAGCAGCACCCGCCGCCTGCACCATGGAGGGGAGAGAAACAACGTCCTAAATCACACAACAATGACCTGCCCAGGGCCCTGCCTGCTCTCCCTCAAAGCGGTGACTGCACATCAATATCAAGATTGAGTATCCCATAGAATCTGGAAAGCTATTGTTCAGGCCCCTGATGGTTCCAGCCCTCTCCAAGCATCAGAAGGTTCAGAGAAGCCTCAGCAATGGAGTTTCACATTACTAAGACATCTGCTTTGTAAGTAACCTTGTTACAGTGCAGCTCAGAAATTATTTGTTAATCGAATCTGAAATAAATCTTCCTAAGTGATGCAGCTTCTTTTGTGATCGCATCTCAGCCGGCTGCAGCCTGCTCAGAGGAGCTTTTTTTTTAGCCACTGCAGAAAGCCACGCACGAGCTGTCAATGTAGGACCCCTGAAAGCAAGCCACAAATCTCCAGAGCTGCCTTCACTAACTTCTTAATTTTGTTTCCAGCATTTGTGATAACCAGGCTACCATCCATCTTACTGTTCATGGGTTTTTCTTCCTGAAGCAAGACACTTCGGATGGTGCAGGATCTGAGCGTTAAAACTGACAAAAACCTGCTACCAGGAAAATCCAGAAACCTCAGGAAGTCCTGAGAGCTCCCAAGTCACACAAACCGAGGCAAATCAGACGAAGGGGGGGCACTGTACCTACGTGGACACCGACCACTACCTGCAGAGGGAACGAGCCCCCGGCCTCTTCACCTTTCCACTCGGTGGGGCACACAAGTCCTCGAGGCAGCTTGTTGCTGTGAAAAGCACGTAGAGGAGGAAGAGACAAAAGCAAAGTCTCCCCATCCTAAATCAGAGATACATACAGCAAGACACAAAATATATATTATCTATATAATGACCCAGGGATGCAGGTCTGTACAAAGGTGGTTATCCCACATCTGTTCCTGCAGCTGCTGACCTCTCCTCATCCTGAGCCAACGCAGAAACAGGTGGAGAGAGAGGGGAGCCAGCAGAGCTTTACAAGGTCCAAGGCTTTTGTGAAGATGGACCTGGAGCACAGCCCTCAGCAGAGACAGCAACCTGTCTGTGTTCCTGCAGCATCAGCCAGCGAGCCCCAGGCCAGCTGCCTGGGCTAACAGCAGCCTGCAAAGGCCAGTCCCAGGCTAAGGCCGTGCCCGTGGCCCCCCACACCCACTCCCTGTCTTTCCCACCCACATCCCTCAGCGCCCTCAGAACACAGGCAGGATATTTGCCTCCTGCAAATGGATCCAGAAAAACAACAGTGAAGTCAGACCTTGTCCCATTATTTACTGCTTCTTTTGTTGTTTGATTTTACAACATTCCATTAAAAATTAGCAATTTGTAATGATCACTCACAGTGGTGAAATCTGCATTTAATGAGAATT